AAATAAAAACATACCAGGCCAGATCTGGACCTGCAATCCTGAAATTTTGGATTCCAAAGTTTTCATTATTGCGATTGTTTTTGGTGATTTTTTTACGTGACTTTTGCAACAAGTTTTTTTATATGATAACAATTTTTAGATCTTGGAAATAAATTTGGAAATAATTAAAATTAATTGTGAAATCCAACAAAAGTCACCAATGAAATAAAAATAATTGTTTGTACAGAAAGTAAGGAACCTACATACATCAAATTGTCTTTAAATTAAGTCGTGGCAAAAGAATTATTATTGAACTTTTAAAAGGTAAGCTTAAATATTAATGCAATACTTAAATGCAGCTGTCAGTTTTGAGTTTTTCTGTAGTTTATTGTTGCTTAACGATTCTACTCCTCCCTGACTATTGTGATGAAGGCCCAATCAAGAGCCCTCTACATGAGCTAGCTTAAATACTGCTTGACTGGGCAGCTTTTAAGCCACTTAATAATAAATATGCATTGTAATGACAAAAGTATGCAGGTTTAGGCTTTAAGAAAGCTTTATTCAACTGAGAATACAAGGTTCACATATAATGTCCTTTTATAGTCCCAGTAAACAGTAAATGGCTCCCTCAAAGAGGAGAGTAACCAAACAAGGGAAAACCACTCTTGATTATTCATAACATACATCCTAAATGTAGCCGTCTCTTCTACTCTAATAGCTTCATGTCTCGCACCTCTCGCCTGTGGAACTCTCTTCCCTTCTCCTGTTTCCCTGAGAGTTATAATCTCCAGCTATTCAAGTGTAATGTCAATCGACATCTCCAGTTGCCTTAATCTATCTACTACCCTTATCCTTTCTTCTATCACTCCTATCTGATCTTCCTATTTTCTGTAACCCCTTGCGTCCTAGTGGCTCCCCACCTTGCTTGGGGTGAAATGCTTAAAAAAAAAAAACTAAAAAAAACATCTTTTTTCTTCACCAGTAACACAACTCTAAATGATCTAATATCCCCTCCAAAATAAATAGAAAATAATTATTTTTTGAAGAAGTAAGACTCACTATAGTTTTTGCTTGAAAAAATTGTTAAATTAAATATGTTTAAATATATCTCAATTTAAGTTTATTTACTTTTTTATGAGTAATTATCCACTCCAAGATAAATAGTATGTTATGAAGTTGATTTACACACAATAGTAGTAGTCATCACAAATGACACTCTCCCCAGTCTATCTCAAGTTCTGCCTATATAGTGGTATGGTTATGCTAATTAGTATTAGCTCAACCAATCTTGCTACATAGTAAATAATTACTTTTCGAAGTAGTAAGGCTCACTATGGTTTTTGCTTGAAAAAATGATTAAATTAGATATGTTTAAAGATATCTTAATTTAACTTTATTTAGATATTTGTAAGTAAATAAAGTTTTACTTTTAAACATTACATTAAAGAAGCAAACATTTCTCTTTAAATGAATTTAATTACTAACTATTTTGAAAGAGAGTAGAAGCAAGATACAGTGAGAATTTAAGTTTGAAAAGCTATTATGTTTAAATTTCAAATTATATTTGTATCTGCAAAGAAAAAACTTATTTTAATATTTATTTTTTTAAAGTTACACTTTTATTTACTATAGATGTGAAAATAAATTTAAAAGAATAGAAATTTTAAAAATACATACATGTATAGCATTTTGAAAGTATCAGCAGAATGAAAAAGTAAAGACTAACGGTAATAATAATTGAGAATAATAATTATTACCGCTCATTTTTACTTTTTAATTCTGAGAATTTTGAATGCATTTTAATGCATTTTAATTTTAAAATATCTTTGTAAATACAAATCACACAATGATAATTTTTTTTATAAAAAGCTGATTTGGGTGATAATGAGTCTATATATATATTTATTTTGTTGTAATTTTTGTAGTTTTTTAGTTTTAGTCAGATATGCACACATACACATACAACTGCCCTTTATATATATATATATATATATATATATATATATATATATATTATAAATTAACTGATTTAAAATATGTTTTTTTCTGCTACACAATAAAATAGCCATGTTTCAAAAATGGAAGCTAAAATCTTCAAATTTAATTTTGTAATTAAATTAAAAGCATTAGTTCCATTTCATCTTCAAGCGAATATATATGATAATGCATACATACACAGTGTGTGTGTGTGTGTGTGTGTGTGTGTGTATATATATATATATATATATATATATATATATATATACTCACACAAGCTGCATATTATAAAATTTTCTAAAAATAAAGTTCTCCTAAATCAGAGAAATGAATTAACAGTAATTTGTAGGCATTGTATAGTGTTTACTTTAAAATATAGTTAAAAAAAATTTTCATAAAAATCTATACATTACAATTACATATCCATTATTTTATTAATATATAATGGTTCACATAATATTTATTTAATTCTTTGATTTTTCAACTTCAATATTGCCATGTTTTATTGCCCATTCAATATAATAAGTATCGTATTTTGGGTTCAGTATATATATGAAAATGTTTTAATTACACTAGAGGCCCTTTTAAGAAAGTTCTGATGTATAAAAAAACTTTAAAAATCTTGAAATTCCTTAAAAATAATTTTGTGTTAAAAATGTCTACTTCACAGAATCTAAGCCTTATATTTACAACAGGATGTCATCTGTGGCAGACATGTCTAATGTGTCAATTTTATCTAGGCATGAATTAATAACCCACCTACCCCTACCTTCTGACCTTATTTTTCATTTTTATATTTTAGCCCTCAAATGAGCTACCAAATTGTTTTCTGATTTTCCAAGTAAATTATTTTCATCATAAGTTATCTAACATCGCCTGATGAGGGACAATTTTAAAGTACTGAAACATGAAAATTTTTGTGTAGTGATGTAAAAAAATATTATTATATATATATATATATATATATATATATATATCAGATTTTCTAATGCTTTATTTTTTAAAAAATAAAAATTTATGAATGCTATATTTAAAAAAAATGATAAATGCATAAGTACAAATGTGAGGTGAGGAGAAGAAGGAGGAGGAGGAGGAGGAGGAGGGGAAAATCAAGTGTATTGTAAATATATAACCTATATCAATCTAACATATTTCACTTTTATTAAAGCTCTGTCAGAGACTGATAAAACAGACAAAAAGACAGAAACACTGGTAATTTCAATTATGTTTCGGTCACTCCTCATTGGTCAGACATGTATTGTGAAGATTCTTGTATGTCTAAGTGGGCAATGGATGGCAATGTGTATTAGTGTATTAGTCTAGTCAGAGTTCTGATATCTTAAATACATATATAAGATAATGCGTACAAGTTAATGCATAATTACAAAGTCCTGTGATGCCAGAAATGACATTGTTACATTACGTTTGACACTCAGAGTTGAAAGAGAGAAAAAAAAAGAAGGGAAAAGAAAAGAACATAGAGAGAGAGAGAGCCAAGAAAATGATGAAAAGGAGAAATCAGCATGACATTTTATTTTATGCACATACTCGCGTACACACAAAAATAACTCTCACATCAATAACTAGCACATAAATTAATTATTTAATTTTTAACTTAATAAAAAGAACGAAAATGAGAAAATCTGTATCAACTGTTGAAACCTCCTACCAAATGGACAGAACGATTACAAAACTGTTTAGTTTGTCTATGAAACTCCAGTCAAGGTGCTAGAATAACACGAATCTAAGCTAGGTGACAAATTTTATTTGTTAATCGTAATCCTATTGGTAAGTTAAGTTGTTAAGTAGAAAGTATTCATTCAAAAAGAGTTTGATTAAAAAGAAACGACAAGGTCTGTCAGTTTATTGTATTTTTCCAATTTTCAAATAAGGTGCTATGCATTATTGTACTTAAAATTGTGTCCGAAGTTTAGAATTGTGTTATTATTGTTTTGTTCAAGTACTTTGTACTTGAACAAAACAATAAAATGCGGTGTCTGGTCTTGAAAATGACCATCTCAGTCATTTTCAAGACCAGACACCGCATTGTGATTTATATTGTAATGTATCATTACAATTACATTCATATGTAATATAAAATGATGTAATAATTTCATAATGTATCAGATGAAGAATCAGATTTCTTAATAATAGTAATATACATATGATTTGGGAGACTTTGATGTGATGTAAAAGCTTTTTTTTTTTTTAGGTAGATCAATACAACTGAGTGAATTCGATCCTCACTTGGTGGTTCATACTTTCGGCCTTTTGCCATATCTAAGCTACGCTTAGTAAATCTCTACACATCAGATTGTAAGGAGAAAGGGTTTCTTTATAGGGCCGTGTACTTTTCAGTTTTATTCACCCATATGCCATCCCTAAATTAGAAGTTTGGGTAATTTGCACAGAAAAACAATAAACCCACGTTTCCCGTATTTCGCCAGAAGTACGCATTTATCTAAAAATCCATCAACCATGAAGTAAAGGCACACGTGACACATGTGATATTGTTTTTCTTTGAGGAAGTTAAAGTTTACTGAAGTTTTGGGTTTCCCCCTCATAACCTGAAAATATGAAATCAAAATAAAGAATAAATATGAATGAATATGGGTGGGATAAAGGCGAATTTTAAAAAAAATAGTGCTTAAAATTGTAAAAGAATATCTGTTTGAAGACCTTGTAAGAATTGTAACCACCTCGGTTCTATGCTGCACCAAATGAGATTTCTTTTGGTAGACAAGTGGAAGTCAACACCGTTTCTCTTTTTGCTTACATCCTAAGTCAGAAAAGCTAGCTGCACCGGTTGTTAAAATTATTTTTTACCTTCAAAATCGAGAGAAAAATAAGAAGAAAATATGAATAATTATGTGAAATATTAAGATTTTTCCCGAATAACCGATTCGCTGGTTGGTATGAGCGGTGCATAGACTTTGGCGAAGAGGGCCACACACTTTAAAAATCATTTTTACCCCTAACATATTTATCTCCTCTCTCCAAGAAGACCTTAAAAAAACAACATCGCCATGTCGGGTTCTTGTATAATGGTAAGTAGTTTTTTGAGGGTGGGCATTGTCTTTTTTCCCCTCTGATCTTCTTTTGACTGAGTTTAATAATAATAATTTTAACAATCCCACGCACAAAAACGATCCAACTCGAATTTCTTTATTTTATTTTTTTAATCATTATACTTTTTTTTTTCGTAAATCTGTTCGTTACCATTGTTAGTTTCAAGAAATATGACGTTTCAAAAGTTAAAAATTAATTGTTGATTACGTCTTAAACAGTTTAAATTAATTACTGAATCCATTCAGTTTACGTCAGTAAATCTTTTTCTTTTTTTCCTTTGAGGATATAAACAATATGGTTAGTTTCGTATAAAACCTTTTTAAAAGCTTTCATTGATTGCGAATCGATAAAAATTCACAACTAAACCTACATGAATAATTTAGTTTTTTTCCAGTATTTGTCATATTCTTGCAAACTTTAAAATAATTTTAATTTATTTTTCAACTGGAATAAAAATCCATAAAACGTAAACATTCAAAAACGCATTTATAGCCGATTTCTTGCTTTATTTTTAATTTTATTTGCTTTGTTGTTATTTTTGTGAACCGTAGCTTTTTTTCCCATATAAATAAAGGAAAAAAAAGCACTGACAAAACAAAAATCCTTCTATATTAAATACCAGTGAGTATTTTAATCTGAAAGTAGCAGATTTTTTTTTTGTTAAATAAAAATAATAAAATTATTTAAAACTTAATTTCCGTGGAAAATTTTCAGCGTTTTTTGTAACGTCACGTGACAGTGTTTTTTTTGTTTTTTTTTATACAATTATTATTATTATTTTTTTTTTATTTACCTTCATTTTCTTTTAAATTCTTTATTTATTATTTATTATTCAAAATAAAATCCACTTTGGAATTGCTTGAAACATTACGAACAGGAATTTTTTTTCTTAAAAATGCCTAAGAAGCACAGCTGTTTGAGTTTGAGATTTCTTATAGCCCCACTGAACTTAAATAAAGTCAATTCAGGTTTGCTATGTTGGAAATTTTCTATTCCAAGTAAAAATCATCACAAAAATAGCAAAAGTCATTTTGTCACAGCTTATTTTCTCTCAAAAAATGGATTTTCAATTTTATAGGGGTAAGATATCGAAAAATAACTGTTTCTAGTTCTAAACAAAAATTTTCCCCGTTAATGGGAAATTAATATTTTTTTTTTTTTTTTAAAATCAGAAAGCCTAAATCATTATCAAACTATTTCAGGCATAAAATTGAGATTTTTTAAGGAAATCAACATTCCTAGGGGGTCAAACAAAATGCAACAAAGTCCGTTGGTAATTTTCAATTATATGAGTGCCAGGGGTTAAAAAAAATTGACACTCGGCCACAGAAATCATTTAGTAAAAGGCGAAAGATTTATCTGCAATTCCTGACCACCAGAAATCAAACTTTTTTTTTTTTCCCAAAAAAAGTAGCAGCGATAAGGAAAATTAAACCAAATTGACTTTGACATCTCTGGGTCAAAGGTCAGCCAGCCAGCAATAAACCTTTAGAGAACAAATTGTAATGAAACCCATCACTCCCAGATAAGAGCAAAGAGTGAAAAAAAGAGGGTCAACATTTTAGGGCTTGATATAACCTATGTTTGAACAATGGCTTGATGTGTTTTGTTTTGTTTTTAACACCCCGTAACCCAGGTGATGACAACAACACTTAGCAGACGACATTGTTTTTTTCGCCGCATATCTTTCATATTTTCCATTGCTGGGCCATTTAGCTGTTCTTTTTAATTTTGTTCAATGATGTTCGCGCCAAATGAAAGAGAAAGGAATGAAGTTTGAATGATATTATTTTGAAGCGAAAATAAATATTTTTTCATAAAAAAACGGTGATTTTTCTCAGAAAATTGAGTGACATTTTCCACAGCCAAATCGAAGATTAATTACCAGTGAATAATTCCATGTGCAAACAATAGCCGTCTGGATCCTTTAACGTCGCCCAAAAAGGTCCAGAAGTTTACTGATTGATCGAAAACTTGTGCATAATTGTGTTTTTCACGGCCATTATTTCATCTTGATGTCATTTTCAGACAGCCAAGTCATCAAGGATTCAGGAAAACAGTTTGTTTTAAGAACTTTACATTCTATGAGGTGTTTAAAATGTTACTGACGAATGAGATTTTTTGCTGAATATTTCATTTATGTGCCATGTTGGATTTTCATATATGACAAAAACAAGGCTTTTAAACAGTCGTGGAAGATAAAATAAAAATATTGAATTTATATCGAAACAAGACTTAAATCAGGTACATGATAATTTTGTAACAGACAAACATCAACATTTTTTCACTTTCCTTCACTCTCCATATCCCCATGCGTCTTGGTGGTTTTATCACCTTGTTTGGGGTGAAATGATTAAAAAATGAGAATTTTAGCTGAAGCATTTTCTCTGTGTGTTATATCAGGTGTTGCTGGTACTATGCAACTAAGTATTACTTGCTGCATGGTCCTAACCTGGGTAACTAAACTGGTTCTCCCACTAGATTTTTCTAGTGATCAGAGTGGCTGGACACCCAGAATACATGTCAAAGGGCAGATGAACTCTTTTTGTAGGTTTACCGGCCATCTAGCACAATAGGGGGGTAACTGAGCTCCATAGTTATGCATGCAGCCAATGTAGTAATGATCTGGTATTGCTGGATAGAGGGCTTTCTAGACTGAAGTCAAGAACGAGGGCAGAAAGTTTCCCTGATGGAATCAGTAGCCATGTGTTTGTGACTAAAGTGAGCTGTGGTTTGTGCTGGAGAGGGATGGGTTCCACCAGTTCTAATTGCTCAAGACACGTTATGCATGAATGAATATCTCTCCAGTTTTCAATCCCAATATGTGGAGGGAACTGGTCAGTTGCTCAGCTGCACAGTGACCCTACAACTGCACCTGTCACAGGACTTGTGTTATGTGCATGAAAATAAAATATAACAGATTGACAAAACTTATTTGCATTTTCTGGCCAATAGAAACACCTGTAGCAAATGCTGAACTTTTTGACTGTGCATAAATGTCACTTAGTTAAAAATAAGGCAATGTTTAACCTTCATGCCTGCAAAAAAAATGTTGTGTTAAAAGAACAGTTATTCCTCTGACACCACTATTACTATATGCATGTTTGACTCCCTCAACAATGTTTATTTACAAGATTATAAAATATGTGAACCAAGTACAATGTGATATTTATTATTTACCTTTAAACAGATTTATTATTTACCATTTTACAAGGAAATAAATTTTATTCAAAAATCTATTAAAAATTACAAAACATAAACCAAAATACAATTTTATATTTATTATTTACTATTTTATAAATAACTATGAAAAGTTTTATTTATTCATAATTTTATAAAAATATTAATGAATTATTATTGTCAATTCTCAAGAATAAAGAAAATGTATAAATCCACTTTCATATGTTTGAGTTTTATTAGAATTCTAATCATTGCTTTTTAAAACAATAAACATTGTTGAGGGAGTTAAAAGTGTATACACTAATAGTGATGTCAAAGGAATAATCATCCTTTTGAGACAGTGTTTTTTGTGGGCATGATGATTAAACATTCCCAAAATAAAACCGGATCAAAAAGCTCTAAAAATTTTGTCATCAATATTTTCATCTAATAAAAAGTTTAATTGAATTGATGCATTAATGTTTATACTAAGAATTCTAATTAACAAATTATTCTCAGTGAGTTTTTTGGAGCCAGCAAAGATTGGCAATTGATTTTCAAAAACACAGTCAAGAAAACACCATTCATTTAAAACATTTTTACAGAGTTTCCATGTGAAATCAAAAGTCTAAGTTGTCAATTTTTTTTGTTTTCTCATCCATTTGTAGTGTTTTAACAAATCCATTGCAATATTTTAACAACTGCTACTGTCTTTTTCCTCGCACACACAATATTAAGGGAATTTATTTGCCACACAGAAACTAAACATTGGCTACACTTTTCCTATTTACTTTTTGGAATGATTTACTTTTTCTAGAAGTCTTGTTCATTGCTGTAATTTGATCTTTTGAGATCAAAGATGCTTCCTATTGTAAAAGTAGACATTTGTATATAAAATCTTTTTACTTAATCTAGTGTAATGGGAGAAAGTGCACTGACAGCATAAATATTTTATCCTCCTGGTCTTTATGACTATTAATTCTAAGCACCTGCAATGAAATGTAGCTTGTTCCATAAATCATAAAAAATGCTTAAAAAGCAAATACTCTTAACTAAGATTATTTTTGTAGATGTTGCAGTTTTTTACCTCCAGATTTTCTAACAAACCGTGCCTTTGTTTTACAACTTAGACGTGGTTTAACTTCCATTTAGTAACATTTTTTGTGAGTTTGGGTTATAATAATTAAAAAAAAAATGTTTCTGCTTTTCAATTCTCCAATTCATCTGCTGTAGAATTACTCCCACCTTGTCTGCCAAGACACCCGCTAGGTGGCACTGTCCAGAACTATAAAAGCAATATAAGCTCCCACTTACTCCTTTTGTTTTAGAATGTTTAGGTACAGGATGCATCTCACCACCTCTGAAATATTTTCCCTGGATGGCTGACTGTTAAGCTTCAAACCCAGCCACATAGCATCACACAGACAAATTTTCTAACAGCAAAAACAAAATGTTTTTAATTTTTTTTTTTCCAGCCATCTGTGTGCACAAAAGTATATTTTCTCTCTTGTTGAATTATATATTTTTTTTTAAATAAGGAATAACGTGTGTAAAATCTTTTGCATATTTTATATAAGGAATAATGTATGTAAAATTTCTCCATGTGTTGAACTCTTTTTAAAATGTTTAATTCAGTTTCTTCAAAGTTCTCAAACTTGTCTAATACAACCTGTAATATGTATCCACAACATGGCTAAATGGTTTTTATTTCTTACATCACTGTTGCTTTAACCTATTTTTACCTAATATTTCTTTATTTAAACATTTCACAATTCTTTTCTAACATTATTTTATATGCATATATCATTATAATGAACAG